GCTCCCACAGCCAAAACCAAACCCTCTGCAGCTCCCACAGCCAAACCCGAGGAGAAGCTGCACCAGGAATGTCATAAAATGTCCCTGGAGTCACTGAGGCCAAGTCCAAGCAACCTACACGAGGTTCATATAGGAAACCTTCAGTTATTAGCACTGAAAGCAAACAGCAGTTATAGGTAAATCCCAAATCTTTAAAGGACAGCAGCAGGGACCATGCAGTCACCCTTCTACCTGCCCCATGGAAAGCAAAGGAAATTGGCTCTTTCTAGTCTTGGCAGCCTGGGGATCAAGAGTGAAGGGCACTTCATGAATAATCCATAATCCAAACACACTCCTGAGGGACGCTGCTAATAAAGAGATCAGCTGGTGGGAAGCACAGCTTAAAGGGAAAAAGGCTACTTTCTTCCCATTTTTTTTTTTGCAGTGTGACTGAATTGTCCTTAAAAACTAAGCACTGGAGCCTTCCCTCCTTCTCCAATGAGGGATTTTCTTCTCTGTAGAGGAGAAAAAAAATAATAGAAAGAAAAAAAAAAAAGAAAAAGAGAGAGGAGAACAGTGCACAGCAGGCAAAAAGCAATAGGCTGGGACGTGGTGACTCACCCATTCAGAGCCATTCAGGCTCCATGCCTCCCAGGGCAAAATGCTTTTATTCCTGTTATCCACACGACTCAAGGTGAACTGAGAGGGAACTGCAGCGTGAAAAAAGAAAAACCCCAGTGCACACAAGGAGTCCTGACCCAGAACAGCATCCTTCAAGCATGGAGGGACACTGAGGAACTCTCCATGCACAGAAGTGATGGGGATGTGCTTCCAGAGCAGGACAGGAGAGGGAAGTTCCTGCAAGTGTCCCCCAGGCTGGAGCTGCAGGAGAAGGACTGATGAAGGCAGTGGGAAGAACACTGTGGCCCAGCCAGTTCCTGGCACAATGGCTCCATGGGGACAACCAGCTGGAAGCACTGCCAGGCACTGAGCCAGACAATGCTTTGTCCTTTGAGACCTGACAGGCTCTGGGAGCAACCCTGGAGATCCAACTCCCACCCAAGGTGACGGAACTGGACAAACCACCTTGACCACAGCAGTGGGGAGGCCACAGCAGAGCAGCTGTAAAATAGGCTTAGGCTCAGGTGCCCCACCCTGTGCTGGGCCCAGCCTGGGTGCAGGCAGGAGCTGCAGCTCAGCTCTTCAGCAGTAACTAAGCTGCAATAATTTGCTCATGAGTCACAGCCCTCATTCTAAGCAAGCCTGATTCAGTGCTAGTATAACAAACACTCTGCTTGCAGCATTTCATTTATTCTCACTCTGTTGAAGAACCAGGACCCAGCAGAGCAAAGGTGTCACATCAACAGCCCAAGCTGAACAAAGCTCCCCAAAGTGCCATCACACTGCAAGTCACAGCTGAGGCTCCAGGCACAGAAAGTGGGGCAAAACTCTGGTCACAAATTGGGATTTCTTAGAGCACATGCAGGCAAAAACCTCACAAAGTCTCAGAATCAGGCTTAGGGATATATGCTTAGAAGCTGCTCTCCCTTGGCTGTAGAAACCTAATTCCCCCAGGGAAATCCTAACTGCACAGCCAGTGTTTATGTAGAGGAGTGTATTGCTAAAGAGAAAAGAAAAATAAGAAATTGAACCTTGTCTCCAAAACACTGTGGGTTGGTCACTCTGCTCCCATCATGTGAAAGTTGGGAAATCCCAGCTCCAAAGCCTGGAGGGATTGGCCAGCCCCTCACCTCCCCTGGTGGGGTTATTTCTCCCCAGTGTTTTGAGGCTCTCTAAACACACAGCCTTGTCCTGGCCACACTGCATTAAAGAGCAATTTCAAGCAGGCTCTTTTACTAGCCTGAGGATGTTATATGAATGTCACTATGAATAAAACACTTCAGAACAGATTGGTCCCTAGAGGCTTCTGGAAACAACTCATGCACCAGTGTGGAAAAGGTCAGGCACAGGCCCATGCCAAAACCTATCAGAGAGACAGGGCCTGGAGTTTACTTATAGAAAACTCACAGCAACAGCCTTCAGAGCCCTCCTGCAGAGAGGAGGAACCCTGGCAAAGCAGCTGCTGCCCTGCTGTGCCACAGCACAAGTGACAAATCAGCACTCAGCACCATCCAGAACAGCCCTGCCAATGAACCAGCAAATGTGGCTGCAGGGCACTGCCAGAGAGAGCCTGGCTGCTGCTGAGCACTGCTCAATCCCTCCTGGAACAGCTCAAACTGGGCTGGGCTCAGAGGACAGGGATGATGCAGGGACTCTGCACCCTGAGGTCTCCCCCAGCCCCTCTGGAGCCCTGCAAGAAATGGAATATTTTCCTACTCTTCATGGACAACTGAGTGCAGTGGCAGCTCCCAAACAAACAGCACTCCCAGCACTGCCATGGAGGCTCAGAGCTGGGATTTGGGTCCCACAGTTATCAGGGAACCCCCTTCAGGCAGATGATTTGCCTTATGGCACCCTCAGATCCCACTGGCAGGCAAAGCCCAGGCCACACACTGCCAAAAAGCAAAGGGATTCCCAAGGCACAGCATGGGCTTGGGACTGCAGACACACAATGTGAACTGAAAAAAACTACTGACTCTGCACTGCCACCTGCTTTTCCAAGGTTTCTGCACCCTGGCTGTGAAGAACAAGAGCCAGGAACTCCATCAAATCTCACAAACACACACAGGTATCCCTTGTGCCCACTGAGCAGCCACACACTGCCAGCTCTCTGCTGTGCCACTGAGACACCTCTCGGTGGTTTGCAGAACTGGGAAGTGAACAAAAGCAGCACCAGCTCACGGCGTGGAGAAACCCAACAGTGGCCTGTGGATTCCCAGCTCGAGAGAGACATCCCGTGTCCAGAAGCTGGAGCTGCAGCCTGTGGAGCTTGCAGGCAGCTTTTGCTCCAGGGTACATCAGAAAAAGGGTTGGCAATCAAGAGCTGGGGAGGGGTCACAGTAGTAAGAAAAACTCCCAACTCCCTTCTTGGCTTGTTATCTTAAACTCACCATAGAGATCAGGCCCGTGAGGGGTGAAGACATTGTATAAAACAATGTTGAGAGGTGCAACCACCAGCTTCCCATAGTAATAGCTGTCCACCACTACCAAGGGCACCTGGAAGAAAGCAGCTGTTAGTTAAAGTGCCAGGAGCTTTTGGCTGGGCTGCATTAAAGCTCCATGTGATTTTCTTGAAGGAATTCATCCCTCCTGTCACAAGCCCAATCCATTCCCCCTTTGCAGTGCTACTGGCACTTACCAAAAACAGGATCAATGACACCACACACCAGTTGAGGAAACTCTTCCACCTCTGCTTCAGTATCAGCAAGTCAAAGGCAATAGGAAGCCTGAAAGACAGACCAGCTGTCAGCTGGAGACCTTGGCTTTCCCCACTGCAGGTTCTCCTGCCCTCCAAAGCAAGCTGAGAGAGAACCATCCCTTCACTGGCCTCTGCTTCTACTCCACATCCAGCCATCCAGCTCAGGTTTTACTCTCCCAGTGTATTAATACCAGGAAATCTTCCCAGCCTAAGTCCTCCAGAAGCAAAGAACTCGGGCTATGGAAGCCATAGCACGGACTAGGCTCAGGCAGGCCCTGAGAGTTTTTTCCTCCAGCTCTCCACCCCTGCACACTCCCCAAACAGGCAAAAAAAAATCTGACACAGTGCAAAACTCCCCAGCTTTGCTTTTCTTACCCCAGAGCTGCGCTGAAGGGCCAGCCCAGGAGGGCTCCAGCAGCCACCCCCAGCACGGCCACAGAGGTCTTGTCCATGTACCAGCCAGTCATGGCAACCACCGTGGTGTACATGCAGAAACTGCTGGGCAGGAAAGCTGCAGCACAAGGGGGGAAAGGGGTCAGCCCAGCTTCCTCACACTTCATACCTACTGCAGGGGTTTTACACAAGCCTCACAGTGGCTGGGAAAATGGGCGCAGCCAGGCAGAGGGGACAGGACACAAAGGCAAGTGGCAGTGCCAAAATAGGAGCCTCTTTCCTTAGGTTAAAATAGGTCCAAGGAAGGCAGGCCAAGGCCCTGTCTAAGAGGCACAGCCAGGAGACAGGAGGCAGCAACAGAAACAAGCAGGAAACAAAGAGGAAACTGAAACATGTAAGAGAGTGACACAGAAAACATAATGTGAATCAACACTTATTCTATCACACCTGCCACGAGAAACACCTCCAGCAGAACACAACCACAACAAACACAGACTAGAGATCCATAACACAATGTTAGAGATGTGTTAGAGCTGTGGCTTCTCTTCTCTCTGGCCCTGCCTCTGGTTTCCAGGGACAAGGTCACTGTCAGAGTCACTGCTACAAGCAAACCTACCTGCAGAAGCACAGAACATCCCCGTGCTGAGCACCAGGAAGGCCAACATCAGCCTGCTCACATGCAGCCCAAACTTCTTGCACACAGCCCTGAGGAAGCAAGAGGGAAAAGGACACCGAAAAGATCCTTAAAATCAGATTATTCCCAACAGAAAAAACGCCAGGTAACAGTCTGAAAATCACAAACGAAGAGGCAGAGTCTAACCCAGCTTAGACAAGATAATTGTATGTTAAGGATTTACTGCTTTTAGTGGATGTAAACAGCACTGGCAGATGGATTACACACAGCAACAATTAATGTGTTCCAGTAAAATTCACTATGGTAAGCAAACACAGCACCAGACTCTCCTCCAGCAGAGCTCAGTCTACAACACTCCCACCCTGCTTGCTGCTGTTGGCGAGAAAACGAGTGTAGTCAGCAAAATGCTGGAGTGGAGATGTGGGTGGCAGCTCTGAGAGTACAGTTTTGTCCTAATTGTGGAATTCTCACCAGTATTCCATTAAGTTATCATGAGAACACGTATTTTCAAGGTTCACTTTTAAGCAGCCCAATCCACACGAGCTTCAAAGCGTATTTCCCGTGCGTGGCACTCAAAACACTCACTGCAGACAGGCTCTAACACTCACTTGTAGAAGTAGAGTTCACAAATGCAGCTCAGGAAGGCCAGGAAGCATCGGAGGAAATAGAAGATAAGGACCTAGGAGACATGGTTGGAGTGTGAGGAAGGCACAGGACACAAAATGGGCTTGTAAAGCATCGGGGGAAACTCACAAACCCTCCGAAATCCTCCCAGGGAGGTCGGTGTTTGTCAACCAAGGAGAGTTTTGTAAGCACGAACTCTCTGACAACAAACAAAGCGGTTGTTTTCACACAGACTAAAGGCACTTTTATTCCCCACAAAAGCAGGTTCCACACGTGTGATTTACCTTGTTGGTTTGCAGGACCCGAGCATGGAACCAGGCTGGTAAGGCATGGAGCCACAGGTAAGCATAGGAGCGGATGGCATAGGCTGGGGAGTATTCCCACGTCTGAAACCCCTTCCCATAAATGAGGTAGTGTGTCTGCAACGGAGATTAAATCAAGAAATAAATCAACATGCATCACACAGAGCAGACAGCTTCCCATCTCCCACCTCCGAATCCTTGAGTACAAAAATCCCTCTTTGAGAGACTGGCACGGGGTTCTAAATAAACCTGCATCTGCACTGGCCAGGTACACGCTGCCACATCCCAAGGGCACGAAGCCACTCACCGGCTCCCAGTAGTTGAAGGTCTCATCGCAATCAGAGATGTTGCTCAGGAGGGCTGCACAGAACCTGGCCGAGATGAGACACTTGAAAGCTGTTGATCCTTCGGGGGCCCAAACTTGCCCCGCTTTGCTCCCGGATGATCTAATCCGAAGGGGAGAGGGGAAAAAAAAAAAAAAAAATTAAAAAAAATACGAATATGCAGCAGGAAGGCTCAGCGACGAGACCAAGCGACACTGAAAGGGCAGAGGAGCGTATCTGAGCCGCTGATTCCAGCAGCGAGCGCGCTCTGCTTTCCTTGGGGGGGTCGGGTACCAGGGATGCAGCATCACCCCCCGCCCCACCGCAGCCCCGCCCCGGGGGGGCTCCCGCCGGCCGGGGAGATGCGGGGCGGGCATCTCCGCCACCGCCCTGGGCGAGGGGCTACCCAAACACCCACCCCCGCGGGCCGGCAGCGCCCGGGCACTGCCCCGACACCCACTCTGCCCGCGGCTCCTCCGCCTCCGGCCGCCGCCCCGCCGCCTCCCCGCCGCCCGCCCGCGGCCGCTGCCG